TGCACCAGAATTCAATGAATTACACGTAGAGAACGGTGTGCTCCTTGGCATTTGAGCGATTTGTGAGGGCAAATTATCACTTGAGGAATTTGTTTTGTACGTCGACGTTGCAATTGCAGACTCAAAATTGCTCGACGTAGATGATTGCAAGGTCGATATCGGTCTTGATTTCAGGATCTTGATGCGTTCGGTCAAGTCCAGAACCAGTTTTTGTAAAGACTTCTCAAGTTCCGTGGATGCAACTACAGTTCCATCCATGTCGATTTCATCAGATTCTGTCGACTGCGACGTCGACAATCTTGATGATGCCTTTTCGGCTTTCGTTTGACTTCGTGTTTCCATTGTTTCGGAAAAACGTTAAATTTGAAATAACGGCGTCAGAAAGAAACAGCGAATGTTGAAATAAAATTGTTATGCACGCCACAAAGCTCCCGCTGGCACTTACAAAAGAAATGAACACCACCAATTTATATTCAACGAACGTTGACGTTGTCACCGTTGAAAAGTTGTTCGTTTATTTCACTGAAATAATATATAATATAAATCTTACAAGTTTAGTTTAGCAGAAATAATTTCTTACACTTTGTATTCATGTGCCGGTAAGACTGGCGTACAAACAGTAAATGACAAATTCAATTTTGGAAATACATATGCAAGTGAAATGAAAGAAAATGAAAGAAGATAAATAACTGCAGTGTTGCATTTGAAGTCTGGCGGGTGTGTTCGCAACATAGTCCTTTCCATCCGAACTAGCTGGATGACTCTGGATCTAGTCCATTCAGATCACCCATAATGTATGAAATAAGAAGGTCGGCATGGAAACTAGTCCTTTCCGTACGATCAAATATCGCGACTCTGCATTTAGATCACCCATAATAGTTGCGTTCCAGATGATTCACGATTTGCAGGTTTTTACAGGAAGTCGTTCCAGGTGACCACCTCCAATAAGGTTTATTAATGGAGAAAACAGCTGTTCCTGCAAATTGTGAAGTTCGTGAATATCGTGAAGCATCTGGAACGCAACTAATGTATGAAAAAAGAACGTCGGCATGGAAACTAGTCCTTTCCGTCCGATCAAATAGCGCGACTCTGCATTTCGTTCATTCAGATCGCCTGCCGGTAGAGAAGTTTATAAGAGGCCGCTTGGAAACTAGTCCTTTCCAATCGCTCATTTGTGGCTCTGGAAGTTACACTCATATACCATGTTCTGACCGACATCGAAAACATGTTTTCGTTGGTAAAACTGGTTGTCGACCTAAAACTTGTGTTTTCGTCCATGTAAAATTTGTCAAACGAAAACTATTTTTCGCTGAAAAGCACTTGAAAACTCACGTTCCACTCATTCCAATCGGTGTCTGCACTAGTTTTTTTCGATTATTTATCGAAGTGGCAGTCATATTTTATCATCTTTAATACGCCATTTCGGATTTATTGTTAATTGGCTGACCAAAATTATATAAGCATGGAAGTAAAAGGTTGTTAATTAAAAGAAATTGAAGGAAAAGTATTTTGGTTTTGTATTTATGTAGCAAAACTGTAAACAAAGGATGTAAGAAATGTCAACGAAAACACCAACAGTCGGTGTGAACAGCCTTCAGCCCACAATCCCAAAACTCGTTTTCAAGGTGTTTTCGTTGTCGGTCAGAACATGGTATTATGCAGCGTTTTTGCTGCATTTAAAATGCAACATTTAGCACTTTCGAACATATGTTTTCGAAGAGCGTTCATGCTATAGCATTTAGCAAATGTACATTTACGCGAGTTCGAAATCGTATGCTTTTGTTAAACAGCCGTGTTCCAGTCTCTTATTTAGATCCGTATATATTACGATCAATTCTCACGCAGAAGAAAATGTGCAAAAACCATACTGAAAAGGAAAAAATTAATTTTAAACCAAAAATTCAATACAAAAACTTGAATGATTTTAACCATAACCAAACATTTGTTTGTGTATATATTCATTTGTCGGTGCTGTCAATTAAAATTTCCTCACCTAATTAGGAAACAAACCAAACAGAGTTGATCACAAATTGATCCAGATTTCTATCAGCATCACATCGATGTTGAATTTGCTTAACTTTTCTTTATCCAAATATGTAATGTAAAATAAAAGAAATCTCAATCGGTGATCACTGAAACGCAGCTAGCAACCGTATATTCGAAAAAGCAATGTTACCACTTTTTCTCTTTAAACCATGTTCGAATCGTGGAAATTTTGGAAGATAACAAGGTTGCTTTGGCATTTAGATTCTTAATGCAAAAATGGAGTTGCATTTAGTTGCATTTAGGTGACGAATTTTGTATGGATAAATGTACATTTAGAGTAGCATTTAGAGCTAAATGCGCTAAATGTGCTTTTACGCGTAGGCAAAAACAGCCCATAACGGTGCTGCTTGGAATCACGTCCATTCCAACAGCAAAAACAGCCCATTAGACCGCATATCGTACGTGATATATTTATGCGGTGTTTTTGCTGCATTTAAAATGCAACATTTAGCACTTTCGAACATAAGTTTTCGAAGAGCGTTCATGCTATCGCATATAGCAAATGTACATTTACGCGAGTGCGAAATAGTATGCTTTTGACAAACAGCCGTGTTGCAGTCGCTTATTCAGATCCGTATATTACGGTAAATTCTCACGGAAAAGATAATGTGCAAAACCCCTACTGAAAAGCAAAAAATAAATTCTAAACCGAAAATTCAATACAAAAGCTTGAATTGTTTTAACCATAACCGAACATTTCTTTGTGTATATATTCATTTGTCGGTGCTGTCAATTATAATTTCCACACTTAATTAGGAAACAAAACAAACAGAGTTGATCACAAATTAATCCAGATTTTTATCAGCATCATATCGATGTTGAATTTGCGTAACTTTTCTTTACCCAAATAATGTAAAATAATACATGAAATCTCGATCGGCGATCACTGAAACGCAGCTAGCGGCTGTATACTCGAAAAAGCAATGTTGCCACTTTTTCATTAAAGCATGTTCGAATCGTGGAAATTTTGGAAGATCTCAGGGTTGCTTTTAGCATTTAGATTCTTAATGCAAAAATGAAGTTGCATTTAGTTGCATTTAGGTGACGAATTTTGTATGGATAATTGTACATTTAGAGTAGCATTTAGAGCTAAATACGCTAAATGTGCTTTTACGCGTAGGCAAAAACAGCCCATAACGGTGCTGCTTGGAATCACGTCCATTCCAACAGCATCGAGAATATGCTATCTTAGTTAAATATACATAAACTATTATATAGCTTAGAAGGAAAAGTGAAACAGGTTAACTTATTTTAAGCATTAATTTTAACTTTACTTTTATTATATATCGCAATACATAATTCCAATGTATATACGTGAATGTACATAGGTCAAATGACTGTAATAAATAAATAAATAAAATATAAATGTCTTGTATATAAAAATGTGTACCTAAAAATGTCTTGTGCAAATAAATATTTACCAAATTTCAAGCGAAAAACGCAAATGAAAATTGTGATTTTCGGCAATTTTTCTAAGGGGTCCCTAGGGAACCGTAAAGGACCTAGGTGGTCGGGGGTTGCATTTTTGTCAATGGCGGTTCATTCCCTCTCCAAAAAGGTGGGTTAGAGGTGCCACGCCCACTTGCGTTTCGCCCACCGCCCCTTTAACGAACGGCCATAATGGAAAGCCAACCCGTTTAATTAACTACAATATGCATTTGCACATACATGCATTTATATTTTTTATTATCACTGAAATCAAATCGTAATATAATATGTATTTTTAGCATTAATTATAGACTTTCTAAAAAAAGGTTATTTTATGAAATTATATTAACTTTTTTTGTTATATAATATTTTTGGCTGAAATATTTAAAAAAGCATACACATTTGATAGATCAGCTTGAAGATAAATTAATTGTCTTTATTTTGACATCATTACCTTTTGAATCGGTTACGCAGTTTAGAAAATATTTTAATTTATATATCTACTTTACTTTTCAATTGCGGTAAATAATATTTATATAGTTAAAGTCATCGTAAAAAGTACTAGCAATCTGAATTTTTAGTTTTTCTATAGCTGAACGGTTGGTTTTCTTGATGTATGCCCAAGTGAATTTTAGTAGAAACATTTTAGCCGGTTTTTTTGCCAATATAGCCGGTCGACACAAAAAGTTTTGGCAACACTGGTTCTAATTGATATTCGATATAATCGATTTCAAAACGTCATTTCTATAGTACAAGTGAGCATTATTTAATTGTTGGTTAGGGATGAATTTTTTCGGGCGAATATTAGAATAAAATGATTACTATTCTGAGAGGATTAGCCAAAAATCTAACTAAAACGTTCCCTGTTGTTGGCCGAGGTGTTCGTCCTGCAGGAGTTATAAAATTTCATTTCTATGTGGTTCATAGATGCGAAGTTAAAGCAGATAAGAATAACGAACTAGAATCTGGGAACCTCGCTGCTGATGCATTGAAGCAGAAAAATGATCGAACACAGGTTATACCAGTAGAGACGTCAATACGATATCTTCAAAGTTCTGCGTATAAAGAAACTTATGGTGACCAGTTTGTATGGGAACAATACAGGTAATCATGAAAAACTTCCGTTTTCATATATTTCACAATTTGCTTACATGTAGACGAAACCATAAAGGAGCAATACCACCTCGTAAAACACGAAAGACCTGCGTACGAAAAGGCGTAATTTCTACCGGTAACCCGTGTCCTATTTGTCGTGACGAATATTTAGCCTTAGATCACCGTAATATTGAATTACTTCGTCAGTTTATATCGCCGCATACTGGTAAAATTCTAAGTTATTCCAAAACTGGACTTTGCCAAAGAAAACATTTTGAGCTCCTAGTGGCTGTAGAGCGTGCCTATGATTACGGGCTTATATCTTTCGATGTCCCTTTTCGAAAGTTTGATCTTGACGAATATTACGGCCATTCCGTAACTAAAGCGCAATAAACTTTAATCGAGTTATCAGTTCAAGTTCTAAAAAGTAAAATAACACGAATAAGAAACAAAGTAATGGCGTCTTGTATAAATGACAATACAAAACTCGAAGATCATAGGGTGACATTCCTAGTCGTGGGTGGTGGTATAGCCGGTGTAACTTGTGCAGAAACTTTAGCAGTTTATCATCCGGAAGAGAGCATAATTTTATTAACAGAATCAAGTGTTATAAAAACCATAGCTAATTTAGAACCTGTTGCACGGTTTGTTTATAAATTTGATGTAAAGGAACGTTCTTTGGAAGATTCCAGTACGATTGCTCCAGCAATTATTACTATTGTTGACCAACTAAAGCATATAGAAGCGTCAAAGCGTCACGTTGAAACTGAAAACGGTTGTAAAATATATTATAAGTCCATTTGCCTTTGCACGGGGGCTGTACCTCATCTAATACATAATGACACACCTCTAGTCATTGGAATTCGCGACACTGATTCAGTTTTGATATTGCAGCAACGTTTAGGAAATGCGAAAAGTGTTGTGTTGCTAGGCAATGGTGGCATTGCGAGTGAGCTTGCATACGAATTGCATGGTGTTGAATTACATTGGGTCATCAAAGACGCTCATATAGCATCAACATTTGTAGATGCTGGTGCAGCACATTTTTTCCAAGAATCTATACAGCATAGTAAAACTACATGCGAACATAAACCGGTTGCCAGTTCAATTGTTAAACGATTGAGATATGCTGAAATATTATCCGAAGGTCAACATAAAAATGTTACTAAGCATGGTGCAGCCTTGGGACCTGATTGGCATAGAAATTTTACCCTCAAAGGAAATACAGTTACTGAACTCAAGTCCCCGATCATGCATTACAAGGCACATATTAAGCAGATAAGAGAAGAAAACAGCATGCTTTTTGTAACGTTGTCTAATGGAGAACAAATTAAATGTGATTTCCTCGTATCTGCAACAGGTGTTGAACCCCGACATAATTACTCTTGTTCTATACCTTTGTGTCTGGCCTCTGACGGAGGAATTGCTGTAAATGATATGATGGAAACTAATGTAGAAGGAATTTATGCAGCGGGCGATGTTTGCACCTGCGTGTGGGAACATGGCGAGCACTGGTTTCAGATGAGGTTGTGGACACAAGCGCGTCAAATGGGGTGTATGGCAGCCCGTAGTATGGGAGCGAAACTAAGAAATGAAGTAATCTATCAAGATTTTTGCTTTGAGCTCTTTGGGCATGTAACACACCTTTTTGGTTATCCTGTGATACTCCTTGGTCTATATAATGGTCAAGGCTTGGGGAATGATTACGAAATTTTGCTACGCAGTACGCCACAAGAAGAGTATACTAAATTTGTATTACAAAATGGACGTTTACGTGGAGCAATATTGATTGGAAATTCAGAACTTGCCGAAACCTGTGAGAATTTAATATTGAATGGCATCGACCTTACGCCCTACGGAGATGATATACTTAACCCAAATATCGATATAGAGGACTATTTCGATTAAACAAGTCATTGTCAATATATTTTGTTTCCATTCGTAAAAAATAAAGTTGCAACTACTATAATTAAGAAAATGCTTTGTTTATTTAAACTTTTGTCATTTAATCTTAGCCTCATTGCCTGAAAAGATATGATTTAGAGAATTATATTTGTTATTTTTGCAATACTCACCAACATATTTAATTTCATCAAATGCCTTTCTCGCTTTTTTCAATTCTTCATTCATCGTCAACAAATCTTTAACACGGGCATATTTTCTAAGGTCCTTTCGAACCAAAAATATGATATCTTCGACTTGTACACGGCCGGTACGTCCGATTTCCATTGCTTTGTGTGTCATTTCGGTTATGAATTCAATTACCAAGTCTTCTAACAAGTCTACACTTTCTGTATAAGGATTCTTATCATCACCGAAGCCATACATCATACATCTTAACTCCTTGCTAAACAATCTTTTTCTCCCAGCGGTTGTAGAAACAAACTGCTCTTCGCCCAGTTCATCTTCGTCAAACTAGAATTCAATATATAAAGTATTCAATACCTTTCACAATGAATGACATCCTGAAACTTACATCGGGGGTTTCAAAATTTTCGTCGATATTCGCGTTTGTTGCCATTAAAGTAATTGATGGCTACAAATCATATTATTTTAGAAGCGCAATTGGTACAACATACTTATCGATTAAAATCAAATACCGATGTCAAAACTAGGCACACGAATTTCGATACCATGATTCAACCATGATTCAATAATACAAGGTTAGATAATTATTGACAGCTGCGGTTTGACACTCCCTTACAAAAGGTTGCATTTACGAAGGACAGAGAAAGGGCAAGAATGCAATCCCTTGTTTTGAAAATGGTAGTAGAAAAGTACGCGAGGTAGACAATTAGTAGTGAAATTCCTTTTGTAAATTACGTAATTCACGTAGATATATCAATATTACGTTCAACATTTCGTTTAAAATGCCAGATTTCCTGCAAATACATTAGTATTTACAAAAGGAATTTCACTACTAATTGCCTACTTTGCGTACTTTTCTACTACCATTTTCGAAACAAGGGATTGCATTCTTGCCCTTTCTCTGTCCTTCGTAAATGCAACCTTTTGTAAGGGAGTGTCAAACCGCAGCTGTCAATAATTATCTAACCTTGTATTATTGAATCATGTTTCGATACCATATCGTTATTTGGCATATCATGAACCAAAGACGGGAAATGTTTAGCTAGTCCCCTTTCAGACACGTCAAGTCTTGAAAGCAATTTTTATCGCATTCTCTTTTGTGTTTTCTCTTTGCTTTCACACGCATCAAGTTTTATTGAATTCAACTACTTGGTTCTTTAAACCGGAAGCAACGAAAAGATCAAAAGAGAACAAGAAAACTTGAAACGAATTGACGGTACGGAGGTATCTGTACTCTTCCCCTCTCTTCCCACCTCCTTCACCAACGACCGAACAGACTTGAAAGCAAGACTTGACGTGTCTGAAAAGGGACCTATTTGTACAACAATTTAGGGATGGGTGCGGAGGGGAGGAGGATGAAGTAACTAGAATTCCCTTTCTGTGTGGTAAACCTGGGGCTGCCGCCCCAGTGATGTCTATTTTGGTTACTGGGTGTTTTATAAAAATATCTTGTCTATAAAAATGTATATACAAATTTATAACAAAAATTTGCAACAAATACCATATTTCCAACCGACATTATTGTTAAATTAGTGCACAGATTTAGTAAATTAAATTTTTGTAATAAAGCGTGAGCTGTTGTCTACAAGTGTGTGTAAAAGTTTTTTGATTCGATTCACGCGTTCGGGCACAGCAACCCAAAATCGTTGTACAAATTCATAAACAGTACCCCCAACGACTACTGATCACGCAATCCGCCATCGTTGCATTTGTAATCGAATTTCAGAAAAAAGTTATCGTAGCGTTTTTTATGTTTTTCCTTTTTACATCGTCTTCTATCGCTTCGGAATGGCGATTTTTATTTTAATTTTGTTTTATTACAAATTGATGATATAAAATGAAGTGCTTTGTGATTGGAACAAGTTTGTGCGTTTCTTTGGTCTGGCAAAGGCCTAAATTTTCCTGAAAAGTGGGTGCACGTTTGTGGCCAGAACGCTGGCTTTGAAGAATCGATCCGTGGTGATGATATGCGATTGTAAAACACTTTCAATCATGAAAACCATATTTTATGAACTTTTTTTGCTAATTGTCATCAAGTTTCACTTTGTACATTTTATAATAAATACCAATTTAATGGCACTCAATCACCGCGCCTTTTTCGTTTTCTTTGCTTGTTTTCATTCTTAGGCAGATGTCAAAAACGCTCAGAAATTTACTTTTTTCATTATTTTTCGATTGCGTGATCTTGTTAGTTGGTTCATGTTGGCATATATCAAGATAACCAAGCGTTCAGCAATGCAAAAACTATAAATGCAGATCGATAGTACTTTTTACGCTGATTTCAACTATATAAATATTATTTGGCGCAATTGAAAAGTACAAAAGATATGAGGTTAAAAAAATTTTAATATTTTAAAATATTAATATTTTCTAAACTACGTAACCGATGCTACGATAAGGATTTTAAAATAAATAACGACAATTCATTTATCTTAAAGCTTGTATATAAAGTGTGTATGCTTGTTTTTAAATCTAAGCCAAAAATATTATAAAACAAAAAAAAAAATGTATAATTTTTTCATAAAATATCCTTTTTTGGAAAAACTGCATAATCAATGCTAAGAAAATTTGTATTATTTAGAAAGCTCAAGTTCCTACCATATACATAGGACCGTTTTCTGAAGTAACCACTAGCTTTAAAGCTAACTTTATATTTAAAGGTTGGATTAAAAATAAAGCTTTGCCTAAAGTTAAGCATATTTATTATCGGTTTTTGACGTATGTATGTTTCTTTGCTGTAAACCAATTTAAAACCGATAATAAAATGCTTTACTTTAGAAACAATCATAAATTTTAATGCAACCTTTAAATATAAAGTGAGCTTTAAAGTTACAGGTTTCTTGAGAAAGCTGCCCATATTATATCATGACTTGCTTTTGAGTTTTAAGAGTTTAGTGATGGTATAAAGAAGTTCTGCGCAAATATCAGCCCCTTCTTCGGTAACACAGAAAGAAGAATTCTATACGGTAAGGGTTATAATCCCCAAGTGCGGACGAAGGCCGCCTACGCAGAAAGGTGTTCTCTGTAAAAGATGTTCAGCCCCCCTTCTTTTTCAACACGGAAAGAAGAATTGTACTTAGTGAGGGTTGTAATCCTTAAGTGCGGCCGATGGCCGCCTAAGCAGAAGGGTGTTCTCTGCAAAAGGTGTGCAGCCCCCCTTCTTCGGCAACATGGAAAGGAGAATTCTACTTAGCAAGGGTTATAATCCCCAAGTGCAAACGAAGGCCGCCTACGCAGAAACGTGTTCTCCGCAAGAAGTGTTCAGCCCACCTTCTTCGGCAACACAGAAGGAGAATTCTACTTATTGAGGGTTATAATCCCTTAGTGCGGCCGAAGGCCGCCTACGCAGAAAGGTGTTCTGTGCAAAAGGTCTTCAGCCCCCTTGTTCGGCAACACAGAAGGAGAATTCTACTTTGTAGGGGTTAGAATCCCTAAGTGCGGCCGAAGGCCGCCTATGCAGAAAAAAGTTCTGGGCAAAAGAAATGATGATATTACCTCACACTTGCTACTTGCTTGTAAATGCTTTTAATTTTTTTATTACTGAATTCCTAAACCTCAAAAGCAGATCATTATAAAATATGCATATCAAATGAATGGTAAGACCTTGCACTTTCGAAATAACATATCGTCGTGTGTTTGCAAAGCCGCCTATCTTACGGCACTCAAATTTTACAGGAGAGCGGAAAAACGGTTTATACTTTGAAGGCATTGCCTTGATAGGCGGTATTTTCTCTAGGTGTTATTTGACAAATCTGTTGTTTTAATAACGATTTAACGATTTTTTTTCGATGCCTGTAGTTCAGGGTTACCAAATCTCATTTTTGCCACAACGGCGATTTAGGCGGTTTTGCAACTAGTCGATGGGTAATTTTGCAAAACAACGACGATAAATTTCTTTAGCATTGATTACGCACTTTTTTCTAAAAAAGGTTTTTTATAAAAAAATTATAACATTTTATTTGTTTTTTTAATTTTTTGGGTTAAATATATAAACAAGCATACACATTTCATATATAAACTTGAAGATGTATTAATTATCTTTATTTTGACATCATTACCGATACTTTTTCCTCGATAGTTTTCAAACAATTTTTTTGGAATCGAGTGCCAGAACCCTGGGAGCCAATTCTGGTTCTGCGGTTCGATACTATCATTTTAAGCGATTCTCGATTATTAAATGCTATTCAGTTAACATCTAGAAAAGCGCCCAACTCTTCTTTTTCACAGTGAAACATTTTTGACAAATTAATTTATTTACATTTGAAAACAAAATCGTAATTTTATGTGAAGTGATGAAAAATGTTTTCACTTCACGTTTTCACAGAACAGGAATTGGCCCCCTGGTATCGTATCAAATCAAATTAATAATATAAAATGTAAAGTTTAAAAACTTGTAACGACAGCTTTTCCTTGTGGTGACTGCGATTGTATGAGTGAGTGTCTACCGGATGTGAAAGTAACCATGATTCCCTTACGCCACCTAACCAACGCCAAGGGTGTGAAACTTTGCATGCCCGGCGGTGCGATAAAGCAGTTTTGAATGCGTGTATATGTTTTGTGTGGCTGGGAATTGAGTAGAAACTACCCAATAAACACAACGAATTCGCCTCGAATTCGAGACGAGCTCGTTTTCTCTGATAGAACTATCGAGACGATAGATCGGCGATTTCGAGTTCTTAGGAGAGTCACCTATCGTTAGCGAATCGAGTATTGCTAGTTTTTCGAATCGTTGGCGATTCTAGAAATTTTTTTCTTCGAATCGCTGGCGAATCGAGAATATTTAATTTTTCTAATCTTTGGAGACTCTATAATTTTTATTTTTTGAATCGTTGGCGATTCGAGAATTTTTATTCTAGTCGTTGGAGATTCTTGAATTTTTAT